CGTGTATCCCCTCGCTAAGGCGTACAGGAACACAGGCACACAGGAGTCTCTTTTACTACAGGCGCACAGCTGTAGATCGTACTCTGCTAGAACCTTGAGCAACAGGCATGGAAACATGCAAGTGATACGTGAAACAGATAGGCACCTGGATGTGTAACATTCAGTGTTTCACCCCCCGCACCCCAAATCCTGCATATGAAGTGGCTGGAGCCAACCGACAATATGACTCGGCATGAGCTTATCTTGAAGATGAGGACGGGGCACTCATGGCAGCAGACGTGCCCATCAGCTTCTCCGTTGCATAGCTGTTCCCAGAATGCTTCAATTCTCCGAAGTCGAAGACTCCTGGCGACCACTAGCATTCTCAAAAGTTGTACATGTCAAGATACGGTACGTGGAGATCGTCCCATCCGCCATAGCATCTCGACTACTACGGGCGCAAGGATCTTCTACATGCCCTCAACACACCTGGAATGCGACCGACTTCCAACAGCTGACACGAGCTTGTAGGATCTTGGGCAGTCCATGGCTGCCAGCTCCATCCAAAGTCGCAGCGGCAGCCTGCAAAACCAACAAAGATCTGTCACCCGAAGACACCGACGTCCAGCACTTAACGACTCATGGCCTATGCCTGGACCCTGGGCTGCGTGGTGTGTGCGCCGCGCGACTTTTAGGGAGCTCGGTCCTGCCTCCTGCACATAACCAAGGATGGCATACTGAAACAACAGCGCGAGCCGCAGTATCCGCTTCGGCAAAAGCCATTGCAACTCAAGGCTGCTACCGGCAAGTGCCATTCAGCTTTTGGAGTGGCTAAAGGGCTGGAGCGTTGCTTGCAAAAAAAAGCTGCATCAACCATTTCAAATTTGGCAGGTTAGCTTGGGAAGCTGGTGCCCCATGGATTCGGACGATGTGTGTGGTTGGTTGGGTGGCTGGCACCAAGACAGATGACTCTGAGCACGGCTGGCCGACCAACAGAGTCTTCACGGGTTGCGATCGTCACATCTACAGCGCTTTCAGCCGGGCAATCAAGCCTGAAGCATGTAGAAGCCGGGAGGGGTACAAGGATGCTAGAGCTGCTAGCGATGGAGAGAGCTAGGGCAGCTAGGGAGAGCGCAGAGAGGAAAGCAGGTTCCTGCCTGACACATCTGGTCTTCCCAGGATCACCTGGGGACTGCCATCGAGCTCCATGAAGCGGTCTTCATTGAGTGCTACAGTGCTGACGAGCTGCACCAAGGAGGGCAAGGCAGCAAGCCCGGCCACAGCACCCACGGCACATGTGCTTTCGGCAAAGGTGTGGGATGCGCGAGGTTTAATGTGCAGTGCTGTGGCTGACTCATTGACACCACCACATCTCCCGATGATTTTAACTTGGCTGACTGTGGATCAGCATCCTGCCGTGTGCTGCCGTTCCCAGGCTATGAATTCGGGATCGCATTGCACAAAGGCTGTAGTTGCGGCAGTCAATCAATCATCTGATTAGAAGAAAACCAGGCCTCCCAGCTTTGACTTCCACTTTTTGCCGTCTCAACTCCGCACGTCGGATCCGTCCGGAGCAGGATCGAAACTCACGACAAAGTCATGCTCGGTCGCCTCCCCATTCCAGGATCAGCGTTAGATCTCTGGCAGGCGACTCGTGGGCTAGCCGAGTCGCTGTTGCGGTCCTCTCAAGCAGTCGCACCTCAGGTTGGCAGCCATTGGATGCCTTGCCAGAGCTCCTCTCGACGACCCAAGGTGGGGGTAGCTGCATGTTGGCACAATGACGAGACAGCCGTTCACCGAAGCATAACCGCAGCTCGAAGGCCCCAACTCTACCGTTTCTGCAAGTCCCATAACACAAGACCAGCAAAGCAGCAGGCCTCCAGCTTCGACCGTAGCACCTCCATATGTGGAGTCGACACCCGCGGCCCAAGGCCCTAGACTAATTCCCAAGAGCCCAGACTGCTCAGGTCCCGAATCTGCGAACCCGCACGGACACTTCCATGACCGCAAACCTCCATGACTCCGAGAAGCTTTGCCCACTCCGTGTGCCTCGATTGTTCGTTTCGACTTTCGCTGTGCCAGGAGCAAGCCCTGACGACTGTGCTCCGCGGCCTGCCGAAGACACAGTGCAGACGCTCTGGCCAGACTTTCAAAGCCCATCCCAACCATGCCATGGCCTCGTTCGACCTGCACAGGCGCCTGTCGTCTTTCGGCGAAGCTTCAAAGCAGTGGGGGACGGCTCAGCGAAGGGTCAACCGCAATGCCTTCCTTTCTGCTTCAACGCACACGTCCACTCAGCTGCAACAGAAACAGAATGGAAGACCAACGGAAATGCAGCTCACTTTGTGAAGCAGCATCAAAAATATTCTCCGGAGGATGATTAACAGGGTGAGACTGACGAAGGTGCATTCTGAAGGTCAAGTCGCTGTCACTACCTGCTGCAGGCCGAGCTCGCCGGAATTCTTTCTCCGCACGGCTGCGGCAGCAGCCACTGGGCCGTCGCCGAAGGTAATTTGGGCTGCTGAAGCTGTGGCCATTTTTCTGGATGTTCGAATGCCACGGTCTCCATACACGGACCTGAAGAGGTCATCTTTCCGGAAAGCCTTCATGTCCTGCGAGGATGTGGGGTTTGAAGCTCTTGCAGGAGGCGCATGCCCATCGGCTGGAATTCCTGCCAGTGCTCGTTTCAACCTGCCCTCCATTTCAATCATTCCGAATTCGATTTTGATAACCGCAGCATCTATGAGAGCCTCAACTGCTCCATCCGTGTGGGCGCCCTTGTGTCGAAGCTCGCCCAACTGGTCGCCACACGAGTCAGTGATCACTTCGCTTGTTGTCACTGTCGTTTCTGACGTAGCCGGGGAGGAGTATGCGAGGCAAAGTGTCTCTGCCTTTCTGGAGCAATGAGGCTGCTCAATTTTGATTTCCTCAGCGTTTTCTGTAGGTTGTCGGAACCTGGCCATGCCCAAGGACTGCGATTGCATAACGGATGACTGCCGAGATTCAGACGAGGGCACGGCGCCGCGCACGATGCTCATCTGCGCAGCCAGGGTATCGATCCGCTCAGCCAGGTGGCCGAAATAGTGCTTGGATAGGCTGTAGAGGTCTTCTTGCAACTGCATCGTCTGCAGCATGTTGTACTTAATGAACCTGGGTGCGGTCTTGGAGTCATGAACCCATCTGCTCAAGGGTCCAATAAATTCTCCCACTTCGATCGTGCCGTTGTTGTCCACGTCGATCATGCTGAAGAGCTGCTGTAAGTCATTCTCGTCGATGTCCATTACTCTGAGCCGGCTCTGGAAAACTGGATCACGGCGAGCACCCCGAATCAGCTCGTCCAGCGAAAGCTGCCCGCTGCCGTCCTTGTCAATCCTGGCAAAGAGTTTTCCGAGGGCTTCTCGATCCTTCTCAATATCTTGCTCCATTTCTTCGGCAAGGTTCAAAATGTCATTCTGCCTGGCCTCCGCAAAGGTGTCGACGACGACCTGAGTGTCTCTCAGGTCAGGGCTTCGCCTCTTCCGACAATTAAAAAAAGAAGCTTCCCAAAGGCCCCGCTTCACAGCACACAGCATCTCACAGCCATGCCGCTGCCACGATGATGTTCAACACGCCAAACACCAGCGACAACTGGGAGCCTACGAAGATGAATGCCGTCTCCGGATTCCGAAGTATGACTGGAACGGCCACCTGACCCCAGCTATCTCCGGCAATCACTGTCTTGAAGAGTAGCAAGGTAGCCTCCATTACTGAGCTTGTGGAGGACCTGCAGTATGGACAATTGCTAATGATCTCGTGCCCTTCTTCAACCATATCCTGAATGAGGGGGTTCACCACCTCAACCAAAAGCATGGCCCAGATGGTCATGATCACGAAGCAAAGCAGGAATGACCAGACCAAAGTCCGAAGGCACGTAGCCATCATCGTAACTAATTTCTGGAGCTCACGCAAGGCGCGGATTCTCCGGAAGAGGCGCAACAAGCGGAAGATACGGGCCAATCGCAAAGCACGCATGACACTCAGGCTGTTCGTCATGTCCGCAGGGGCCACAGCATTCAGCACAACCTCCAGATAGCCGCACAGAACTATTGTCACATCGAGAAGCGCCATCCAATCAACAAGCACACCGAAGAAGCCTTTTCCGACGAGCAGTAGCAAAACTTCAGTGCTGTAGAGTGCCAAGCTAATGTCGGAGAACACCATGAAGAACTGCGGTGGAGAACTGAGGCCGGCTGCACGCGCATCAATGTCTACCCATGTACAAACGGCATCAACCAAGACAACACAAGCCATAACGTTTCCGACGTAGTAGTTCGTCACGAACCACAAGGAAAATGATGACACCTTCGTGAACATAGACTTCTTGTTCTCTGTTGGCGTTTGCTCCGCCGAAGAGTCCGCGTCTTCCTGACTTTGGCACAGATCTTTGCAGTCACGTGGAAAAACAAACAGAATCAACCTGCTGGGAATTTGCGAAGCTCTACCTGCATGGCCTAGTGAAATCCAAGCAGCTGCTTTGATAAAGTCCCCTGCGATGACGGAGGCCCGTGCCCTCCTCCTCGGGTCGTATGATTTTGAACTCTTGCATCCCAACTCTCGAAACTTCACGAGTGTTCTCCGGACCTTTAAAGAAGGCCCAAGTCGCCCGAAACGGGCCCGATTCAGGTCTGATTGCTGAACACGAAACCTTTGGGACTTTGGGGTGCTGGCCCACCCGATCCCAGGCAAATGCTCCAACCGGCGAGGGCAGGAGATCAGTGGCAGCCATCACAGTGGTATCACTTCGTATCATTCATACATTCATGCATGCATTCATTTTCATTCATGATTTCATTCCATTTCATTCATTTCATTATTGGTTCATTCACACCACTCACTCACTCACTCACTCAATCGATCGTCATCCATTCATTCATGCATTCATTCATGCATGCAATTTATTTCACTCGCCTTTCATTCATTTCCTATATTTCATGCAGCCATTCATTCCTTGATTCCATTCATTCATTTCATTCACTCATTGTTTCATTCCATCTCATCCGTTCCGTTTCATTTCCTTTCAGGTCATTTCAACACATTCCATTCCATTCCTTTCATTCCATTTCATTCATGTGATTCACTCCACTCATTTCACTTCATTCATTCATTCATTCACCCATGCCTGCTAGCAAGGCTGCTTCCGAAGCCGGAGGCCATGATTCAGTACAACAGCACGAAGAGCACCCCCTTCATTCAACATGCCTCCCCTCTGCTCGAGCAATTGCAAACCCAACAGCCCCTGTAAGCCGCAACTCCTGAGCATGGGCCACATGGACGAAAAATCTGAAGAAGAATTGCAGCTACCTCAACCTGCCTGCCGAGGAGCGATTTTTCAGCAGGGTCTTCCGAGCTCTGCTTGGCCGCACTGGCAATGCTGTGCATCGAATTGTTCTTGCTCGCCGCACCACGAACCTCTTCGGGATCCTGGCTCAACGGGCTCAAGTGCTGTGCAACTGTCCCTCTGGTGCTCCCGAGCCCCAGCCTCCGAGCCATAGCTCAGATCGTGCCTCCTTAAGTCGTCAGCCATGGCTCCAAGGAGGCTCGGGGCTTCTCCGGGCAAATTTTTGCCCCGATGCTTCAGCCGAGTTCAAGGCCGAGGATTCGATGATCCAGGCAAGCAAGGAGTCATGGGAGAAGTGCAGCCAGAAACGTGGCTACAGTGCTACAGCCTGCAGTCCCTTACTCGGCCTTCTGGCCGCTTCCAGATCATCTCGGACGCCGATAAGCTCCTGGGCATGGAAAATGTCTGGGGAATCTGCATCTCTTGCACTGACCATGAAGCCCTCTTTTCCTCTTTTGACACAACTTGCTCTGCGGTCTGCTGCCGCTTATCCGGCCAACCAAATAAGTATGCCGGTGAAGATTGCGGAGATGGCAAAAGGCAGCGCCAGATTCGAGAGCTTGTCCTCAGTGAGGCATGGATTTGACTTGTTGTGTCTTCGTCATATCAGGGAACAACTGGAAGCCCTCCAACCGCAAATTAGGCGCAATTGGAATGCTAGTGAAGCCAGCGACATCCTGAAACGTATCTCTGCTGACACTCGGCCGCTACAGCACATGACATGCCCTTCCTCCCTGCCTGGTAGCCGATTGTGAGGGATGCGTGGCGCATCACATCCTCAAGACAGAGACGCGTTCGGCTTACAAAAAGCGAAGCCTGCTGGCGCTACCCTTGTGACCTACTGCACTGCCTGCACCGCTTCACTCCAAGAGGCAGAGAGCTTTCCGGCCAGCAGGCTGCTCTTGTTATTAGCCAGCCTTTGCACAGCACAGCCAGGACGTAACAGAAGGAGCAGGCGAAGGAGGGCGGATTCAGAGCATGAATAGTGTTGCTTTTGTTTTTGTGCTGGTGTTGTTGATGTTGTTGTTGGTGGGGGTGTTGCTAGTGGTGGTGGTCGTCGCTGCAGCGGGCATGGCAGTAGGGGTTGTCGTAGTAGTAGTCGTCGTCGT